TATGGTGTGAGGTACAGGTCTTGTTTCATTTTTCTGCAAATGGATCTCCAGTTTTGCCAGCACCATTTATTAAACAAACATTCTCTTCCCCATTTAGTGGATTTGGGGCCTTTGTCAAAGATCAGCTGACTGTAGGTCGATGGACTTTTACAGTAGATTTGCCGAGTGCAATGTCATCCTATTTCTTGACTGCTGTTTCCATGGATCTTGATTGTGGAACCAAGCAATATGAAATCCTTGACAACTTCAGTCTTTTCTCCATGTATCATGATGCTTGTAATTGGTCCAGTTGTGAGGATTTTTGTCTTATGTTGTGATGTTATCCATACTGCACACTGTAGTCTTTAATCTCCATCAGTAAGTGCTTGAAGTCATCTTCCCTTTCAGCAAGCAAAGCTGTGTCATCTGCATATCACATGAGTCTTCCTCCAATCCTGATGCCACATTCTTCTTCATATTGTCCAGCTTCTCAGATTATTTGCTCAGCACATAGATTGAGTAAGTAGGGTGAAAGGACTATTTACAATAGCAGAAAGATGGAAAAAACCTAGGAGCCCATCAACAGAACAGTGGATAACCAAACTATGGTACATACACACAGTGGAATAATATGCAACACTAAAGAAGAATGTAGACTCTGCAAAACATTGCATAACGTCGATGTGCTTGGAGGACATTATGCTGAGTGAAATGTCAGTCACAGGAGGACGAATATTGTATTAGTTCATTATTGTAAAAAGTTAAGGAAAGGTTTATATATGGAAGTTTGTTGGTTACAAGGAGTGGGAGAGGAGGGGAAAGAACACTGCAAAAACAAATAAATACATTGCCCCATATCACTTTAGTTTTGTGTATTTCACTGTACATAAATTATATTTCAATAAATTGTATTTTTGAAAAAGAAAGTGTGGTGAAAACACTGATGTACTCCCTTCCTAATTTTAAACCGTGTAGTATTCCCTTGTTCTGTTTGAACAACAGCCTCCTGGTCTATGTACAGGTTCCTCATGAGCACAATAAAGCATCCTGGAATTCCCATTCTCAATGTTATCCATAATTTGTTAGGATCCACACAGTCGAATGCTTTTGCATAGTCAATAATACACAAGTCAACATCTTTCTGGTATTCTTTGCTTTGAGCCAAGATCCATCTGACATCAGCAATGATATCCCTCGTCCCACATCCTCTTCTGAATCCAGCTTGCATATCTGGACGTTCCCTATCAGTGCTTCAACCTTTATTGAATTATCTTCAGCAAAATTTTACTTGCATGTGATATTAATGTCGTTCGATAATTTCCACATTCTGCTGGATCACCTTTCTTTGAAATGGGTACAAATATGGATCTCTTCCAGTCAGTTGGCCGGGTCGCTGTCTTCCATATTTCTTGGCAGAGACGAGTGAGTGCCCTCATTGTGGCATCCGTCTGTTGAAACATCTGTGGGCATTCTGTCAACTCCCGGAGCTTGGTTTTTGTCGGTTCCTTCAGTGCCATTGGTTCTTGATCCTGTGCCACCTCCTGAAATGGATGGACATCAACCAGTTCTTTTTGGTGCAGTGACTCTCTGTATCCCTCCATCTTCTTTTGATGCTTCCTGCATCATTCAATACATTGCCCATAGAATCTTTCAATATTGCAACTCGAGGCTTGAATTTTTCTTCAGTTCTTTCAGCTTGAGAAATGCCAAATGTGTTCTTCCCTTTTGGTTTTCTAACTCCAGGTCTTTGTACATTTCATTATAGTAATTGACTTTGCCTTCTCAAACTGCTCTTTGAAATCTTCTGTTCAGCTCTTTTATCTTGTCATTTCTTCCATTTGCTTTAACTACTCTCTGGTCAAGGGCAAGTTTCAGAGTCTCATCTGACATCCATTGTGGTCTTTTCTTCCTTTCCTGAATTAGAAGAGGAAGGGTATATGCAAGTTTTGACTGTCTGTTTCCTGTCTCACTTGCCAAACGAAGGATGAAGTTGTATTTCTGAACTCAACTGTGTGTCTGCTGCCACAGTAATCGGAACTGAGCTGGCATCTGCTGGTCTGCCTCTGTGTGGAGTCTTGGGAAACGTGCTGGCTATAGCCAAAAACAGACCCCAAGGGAGAGGGCACAGAGCGTGGGTTGGTGTTTGATGAGTTTAAACCTGGCACCTGGGGACCTCCAGAGCCCTGGGGGAGCGCCTGCCCCATCTCGGGAAAGGGCGCTTAGACTGCACAAGACACGCTGCACGGGCCCATGTCTCCAGTCATGCAGCCCCACCACCCTGGATGTGACGAGGCCGTCAGGCACAGATGAGGCTAGGGCTCCAGGGGTGCATGCTGGCTTTGTCCAGCCCCTCTTGGCTGCCCCAGCTTCATGTGGTGGGAGTGGGGCCCCAGCCACTGCACAAGGGGCATGGGCAGTGACCCCAATCCTGTTTCCTGACAGAGCGGGAACAGCTTCCACGTGTTTGACCAGGGCCAGTTCGCCAAGGAGGTGCTGCCAAAGTACTTCAAGCACAACAACATGGCCAGCTTCGTGCGGCAGCTGAACATGTGTGAGTGCCCCCTTCCTGGCCACCGCCCAGCCGGCTCTGCAGGGGCAGGGCAGCACTGTTCCTTTCGAGATGGTTCTGGGCAAACAGGGCCAGGGTGTGCCCACCCTCCACTTCCACCTGTCGGTGCCCATCCCCTTCCCCATCCCCTCCACCCCCTCACCCC